TGAAACCCCACTTGCCCCGCACACCGAGCCCTGAGTTAATTGACGGGGGCACTGCGGGGGCAGCCAGGACGGAGCAGGACCCGTCTCCCCAGCCCCCAGAGGCCAGCAGAACGATCCCCCATGCGGGCAGGACGGAGACCGTGGGCACCCGCCTGTGCGTGTGCATGTGTACCGTGTGCATGTGTGTGCGTGTGGAGGGAAGCGGGGTCCCAGGCACAGCTCCGCGGGCTCCAGGTCTCAGCAGGCTGGTGCGGAGCTGAGGCGGCACCCAGGTCCTGACCACCCTCACACCCTGGGTGGGGCTCTGGGTGCCGCGGGCCTCCCAGCCTCTGGAGCCCTAACCCCTTCTTACTGGACCAGCACAGGCCCGACCCTCCCCGGGACCGGGGCCAGGCGTCCTCCCTCAGCGAAGACCCAGGAGGCACGGGCCCACTGAAAGCAGATACAGCCCCGGCCAGTGTTGCTCAGTGGATGGAGCATTGGCCTGTGGACTGGAGGGTCCTGGGTTCGATTCCCGGTCAGGGTACATGCCTGGGTTGTGGGCTCCATCGCCAGTGTGGGGCGTGCAGGAGGCAGCCCATCCATGAGTCTCTCATCACTGATGTTTCTACCTTCCCCTCCCTCTCCCTTCCCCTCTGAAATCAATAACAATATCTTTTTTAAAAATCTTATACAAAAAAAGAGAAAGAAAGCACATACAGAGCAAATGGGACATGTAGGGGGACAGCCAGCAGCCCTGACATCATGGGGAGCCACTCCCCCAAGTCCCAACGAGCCATACTAGAGCGGCGGGGGGCTGTGGCCCAAGAGTGGGTATCGGGGGGCCTCTGCTCACACCGGCTCTGCCCAGAGGACACCCCTCCAGTGGCCTGTGGGATGGACTCTGCCAGGTGTGCACACCCATGCATCTGGGGTCAAGCGTGACACCCCCGCTCTGTGTCACAGTCACCGGGGGTGTCTGCAGCTGGTGCGTACCCCTCACCGTAGCACATTCTGCAGTTGGTAAGCTGTACCACGTCAGTAACGTGAAATCGCCCACGGGCCCTGGCCGGTGTGGCTCAGTGGATAGAGCGTCAGCCTGCAGACTGAAGGGTCCCGG